ACGCTCTCCTGATGTCCCTCAGACCATGATGGGGATAGGAGCTGACCCATCTAGAGGTGTCAAGTCTGGGATCCAGCGCCACGTTTAGATCTCCAGCGGCCAGCAGTATACCCACGCGGAATCGATCGAGTTCGTGCAGCACATTCTTGAGAAAATCTATGTTGACCGGAGTTAGGTGCATAGATACTCGCGAAGGTATACGTACTATCAGCGATAGTGCCTTTGACAAAGAGAAAGCGGCCCATGGGATCTGCCTTCGTCGTCGTGCACGTGAACGGTACGTTTCTCGCAAGTAATATGGCAAATCCCGCCTTTTTGGCTGTGGGGTGATTAGCGAAGAAGCCCTGTGCGTAGCTTGTGTCCCTCAGGGCCGGAGCCCCATCTCTTTGGAAATGGGTTTCCTGCAGGAATGCTACTGAGACTCTGTCCGCCCACAGGGTGCGCAGTAGGTGTGACCTCCGTTTGGGTGCGTTCAATCCTCGTACATTATTGGACCACAACCTGAGTGGCAGGGGAGCGAATCCCGACCCCATAGTAGGCGCCGGAAGGGGGAGGGGCGGGATGAAGAGAATTAAAAAAAAAAAAACGGCGAGCGGGTGTACGTAGACTTGACACTGGTGGTGTGGGAGTCGCGCCGGGCCCCCTCCAGGGAGCAACTCACACCCTCCCCACCAGCTCGATTCGGGTGTCTGTCTATGGGTGCCTGACCCAGACTGCACCTGCGCAGGCTTCGCCGTGGATGCTCTTTATCCCGCTGCCAAGTGATAGGCAGGTAGAGGATATGTGCCGTGTGAGAATGGGATCGTGGGTTGGTTGTAGAAAGTGTAGTTCCCTATCTCACCCCCCCGGCCGATCTGTGAGTGTGGCTAAGAAGGCAAGATGTGTCTGGGAGCTGTACAGAGAAATGGGGCGTCAAGGTCTGCGTACGGTCTCTCGTCGGTGGGAGAGCTGGGAGTCGGTAATATGAGTCTATGGTCCGTCTTGTACCCTCGTCAGGTCCCCCGGGGTAAGGGTCACTAAGACAGGCAGATCCTATTTATCTGGTTTGGTTGGGCACCTGCGTCCGGACACAGTCTGGCGTGTACGCTGGGATGCCTGGGTCATTATCTCGTGCGTACTAGGAGAGGGTCACTCATTGCCAAATCCCCTGCCGCACGCTTTCCCTAGTATAGATCAGCTGGTCCCTTCTCCTCCCCCTGTAGGCACAGGGCGTCCCCCCCACCCCTCCAATGACCCCCTTGCTCGGCTACCCCGCTATCCTATAGGTGTGCCACGCAACTCCTCCACCACCCATATGTGGCACATCTGCGGTCCCTACACTATGACCCCACCCGCTCCGGTGCCCCCCTCCGGTCGTTGCCCCGGGCTGCTCCTGCGAGTTAAGTGTGGCTCAGTTATAGCAGTGAGCCCTCCCCCCAGTCGCCTGCCAGCAGATAGGGGTTGTTTCTTCTCGTATGGAGGTAACCATCCCCCCCCCACTAAGGACATCGGTCTGCCCCGTAGCAGGCATCATGGTCCCTCCCCATCTGTGCTCTCGGTGAGTGAGCCCCCTATGTATCAGTGGTGTATCAATCCTCTGGGGTATCTGAAGTGCAGGGAGGGTCAGACCGTCTCAATGGAGCATGCAGGGAAAAGAGAGAAGAAAAGAAGAGGGAAGAGAAAGGAGAAAGAAGGAAAGAAGAAGAAAGAAAGAAAAGAAACAAAAGGAAAAAAAAGAAAGGGAAGAAGAAAAGAGGAGAAAAAAAAAATTTCTTCCCTTGTCCCTTCCTCCCCTCTCCCCCCCTCGTGCCAGGAGTCTGTGAGTCCTCGCTATGCTGCCCCTTCAGGTCCCCCCGCCATACCCCACCCCAAAAGTCCAGGCGTACCCATGTCCTCCCCAGTAATCTGCCAGTCTCTATAATCCCCATGTCCCCCAAGCGTCCAGAGACTCACCAGTCTCTCCCAAGTCCACCGGAATGTAGGTGAAGCTATTCCTCCGGGCCCGCCGGTTCTCCCCACCTCCGTGGGGGAGCTCCCTCCGTGGTAGAGGCCTCCGTGTATCCGTTGGGGGCCAGTGGGTCCCGTCTTGCCACTGTCGCTTCTTCCAGGATCCAGTTGCGGACACGAGGCTGTGGCAGGTTGAGTGTTCTCATCAAGCCCGGGACTTCTTCTGGCCAGCGAACCGCCAGCCACGTGTGGCCATGTTTAACCTGTAGGCTAAACGGGAACCCCCACGGGTATAGGATCCTCCTGTCTCGTAGCACGCTGGTGACCGGCTTCAGAGCTCGCCTGGCGTCTAAAGTTAGGCTAGAGAGGTCGTGAAACAGTGAAACGT